CACTCCTTCTCTTGAACCTTCGTGAGACTACTAGATTGGGGGTAGCCTGGTATATATAAGATGGTCACAACGTGACAAGGTAATGAGTAATTGAACTGCAGTCAGTGGAAATATTGTTGGCCACGTGAGATATAGCGTTTGTTATAGCGCGACTGTTGAAATTAAGTGTATCGTAAAGTTGTATTCGGAAAGAATAAAGCACGGACATTTGAGGAGCCAGTGTAGGAAGAATATTACCAACAAGTCGGCCTCAAGGAGACCAGTAGTGGTTGGTGTTGAGCAACGCCCACCAACCCCCATCATGAAAGTCCCAACAGCTAGGTGTAAAATGCCAAGCACACACAGTGTCTATGTGACAGGAAAGATGGATGGCCAAAGGTGCAACTTTGTCATAGACTCTGCGTCTCAGCAAACCCTTGTGAGCATCAAGGTGTTAAAGCACGAAGGAGTACCAGAAGCCTTATGCTTGGGTCCCCTTTTAGCACTACATGTACTGCATGTTCTGCACCATTCTTCCACATCTCGCCTCATACCTATCCAGTAAAATCTTTGTCGTAGGTGACTCAATGTTTTCTCAATTCTGAGATGTCCTCCTGTTAAATTATCGTGGGATTGACGCAACACAACTTCCCGTAACTTCCTCGGTATAACTGTTTGCCAAGTCGTCACTTTCCCATCTGTAGTTTCCCATCTCCGTACAAGAATACCATCTGCAAGCTTTAACTGGTCCCATTGTGCCCAATAGTGCTTTGTCACAGGGCTTAGACTAGACACCTTCTCCCAAGCAGGGCGCACAACACTTGCTTTTAAAAAATCAATTATTGGCTTCAAATCTTGATCTTTCTCCTGCTCTACTTTAATATCGATACCTGGTTCCACTTCGTCATCATCAACTTCGTCAGTCACTTTGACTTCACCTTGATGGCACCTAATTAGTTCGACCAAGTTATTGGAACTTGGCCTTTGTTATTCCTAAATGTCATTTTATCAAAATCAATTACAAACTTCCTTGGTAGTAGATAGTCCAATCCTAATGTGCATTCGTCTTCAATGTCAGCCAAGTATACTTTCTGTCTGTTCTTTATGCCCATGAACTCAATAGTTACCCACACTGGTCACCACAATCTTGTAGAATGTCCTGTCACACCATAAAGCTTCTGTATGGGATGTCCACCTTATGAAGAGTTGCCTGAGAATATGTCAGAGTTTGTGAAAGAGTTATCGGAAAAGATGGATGATATCCACCATCAAGTGCATTCAAACTTGAAAACGTCTGCTGATTCGATGAAGTTAACTTAAGATAAGAGATATACTGAAGTCTGC